AGTTAAATGAGAGATTATTGTTCCCCAGTTCCAACAACGTCAGGCACGGGCAGTGAGACTACAGGTGTGAGTATTTTTGACTACGAGCCTCTCAAAGCTAAGACAGGTATTGCAAACAGAGCTCTGCGGCCGACGTTGGGGTTAGTGGATCCTCTTCACACTCTCTCTCTGCCGGAGAAAGTCTGCGTGTACAGTGGGTGAGTTGTAAACAAGGAAATATACAGGGTGACAATTAAATCTTACGACAACTTTTATAAATTTAAAAGGAAAATGGATATCACAACCAAAATTTGGCACATCATTACGGGTAATAGTAAGCTACCCTACTTTTAGCGAATTTCCCTATAGGGAAGTGCTATTACCGTAGGTGGCAAGTTATGACCTAGGCCTGGGACCGATTTAATTTTTCATTTTTATGTCCCCAGAGGCCAAAAACACCATTCGTTATGTATATATATATAGGTCCGTGAACGCGATAACCAGTGTTGGGGAAGCTACTTTTAAATGTAGCTAGCTACAACTACTGCTAAATTTAAAAAAAGTAGTTTAGCAAAGGTTTTTAGACCAGCTTTCTCCTTTTTAGTGTTGGTTTCCTTTAAAACCCAAGTTGAAACTATCGACAAAATAAAGAAACTAAATTGATTAATAATTTCCCTGCCAATCACTTGCAAGAATTCAATAGCTTCTCTTGTCACCGGTAACGTTTAAACGTCGTCTGCATCTAGCGATTCTATTTTATCTGACAGTTATCATAGAGTAGCAGATGAAGAAAATGAGAGCCAAAAATGTGGATAACACCATTGACTATTAGTCAAAGATAACACTCAGATAATGGCCTCCATGTCCACACAACGTTGTTATAGGTAATGAAACGGCTGCGACCATTGAGATATTGAAGCCAAGAAAGTAGTTAGGCCTAATTTTCTTGAAAATTTCAGTTTGAAAGAGGTTGTTTCACGTAAGGTTTTTATAAAAATCACAATCTCAATCAATGTTAATGTAGCGAGAAAAGTAGCTAAAATTCCGCTACAACTACTTAAAAAATGTACCTAGCTACAGCCAAAGCTACAAAATCTTAAAAGTAGCGTAGCTTTACGCTATAAAAAAGTAGCACGCTACTTTAGCGTCGCTACTTGTAGTGTCGCTACTTGTAGCGCGCTACTTCTCAACATTGGCGATAACTTGAGTAACGTTTGTCCGATTTTGATGAAATTTGGTTTAAAGGTGTAAGGCGGGATAAACGCAGCATGATCGGACCATGGGAACGGGGTTTTTAATGGGGTAAAAAATGGTTTTTCTTATTTATGACCCTCAAAACACAAAATTTCTCAATTTCTCTCTTGACCTTTTTAAAGAGCTTAAAAAAGAAATAATTTAGTTTATCAAAGTTTTGAAACTTGTACGGTTTTTGGTAACGGAGAAAATTTGAAAGATTGTAAATTTAAAATTCCTATGTTATCATTATTGTTAAATATTGTAATTTGCTTGTTTATGGATATATTTTGATCAAACTTGGCAAATTTATTTATTTTATACTAAACTATTAACATTTTACTTTTACAAAATAATAACACTTTTTTACCCCTCCTGTTGCAGCAAACCTAAGTACTCATTAAACTCGCCCATAGGTGGTGTCAGATCACCATGTACACAAAAAATAGCTTACTATTACCAGCAGCAATGATGAGCCAAATTTGGTTGTGATATCTCTTTTTGTTTTAATTTAAAGTTATAAAGTTGTCGTAAGACTCACCCGGTGTATGTCACCGGTATAATTTGTTCTGTCTTTGATGATTGATAGAACTAGACACCCCATATTTCCATGTTAAAGTTGCAACTTGTTTATAATGATAATGGGAATATTTGAATCAAGCCAACAACAGAGCTTATTGATGTCAGTTACTGATTTCTTTTTAAAACAAGAACCTTTTGTGACAATGATGTCCAAGAGATATGGAAGAATTGCATAAATTTGATTTTTAATGAATTTCACTTGTCAGGTTTGACGTGTTCTGTCATGCGTTGGAGTCTTTCACCGCCATCCCTTACACAGAGCGGGGCCCGAGGCCTGAGAACCCCATACTGCGCCCTGCCTACCAAGGGCAGAACCCCATCTCCGATGTATGGGCCCGTTTCGCCCTACAAGTCATCCGCAAGTATTTCAAGAGGTAAAGTTTTGCCAAAATTGTCAATTCTTAAATGTGATGTTTGAAATTGACATTGAAAAATGTTATGTCACAAGTTATTGCCAACTTTAGCTCATAAAAATAACATTTTACTATTTGATGTGATAATGTTTGTGGCAGTTTTACCGGTGGCACCTTAACAGCTCAATTGAAGATGCTTGAGAGTTCTTATTATCAAAAAGGGTGCTCTTGCATTGAGCTTAAATTAATTTAGACCATGTGCTTTTTATCGGATATCACAGCACCAAGTTTTTTGCCTTAGGTCTGATGCCCATTAAATAAAACACATTGAGGTATTTTGATAGAAGGCAATAAGTACAGCATAATTTGCACGAATCCAAACGGATCAACACACTGTTATATCAAACACATAAAAAAAACTGTTTTCTGTGTCATGAGTGTATGAAATTTTGTTATAACAAAAACGCCATCAGGCAAAGTAAAATAATTCCAATATTTATGTGCTGCTAATCCCAAGACCTCCTTATTATACAATCCGATCATGTTTGAAAGTGTATTAAAATATTTTAAAGACAATTTGATGGAAAAAAACAAAATAAAGAACAGTGGTTGGCCTATGAGTATAGTTAATAGGTTTCAGCTTTGTTCTCAAATGTTTGTGGTTGTTATAGAGCTGTGTACCAGCCAGATGACCTAGAGGCACGTTCCAACATGCACATGGCCTCCACCATGGCAGGGGTGGGCTTTGGCAACGCGGGGGTTCACCTGTGTCACGGCCTCTCTTACCCCATATCTGGAAACTGTAAAACCTTCCAACCCAAGGACTACAGGTAACTCAGTAGTGTTTGATCAATAGTTCAGTATTGATGTCTTGTAACTGTTCATTTTTTAAATGATGTAGGCCTATTCCTACATCTTTTGTGATGTAATGGCTATATGCAAATTAGGCATGTAAGGATATCTAACCTGTTCAGTAAAAAGTTTAATTCTTTCCCTAGTAATTCATACGAATTGACTCACCAAAGTAAATCAGAACGCCCATTACTATAACTAAAAACCTGAAAGATGGTTACAGCAGGGAACGATGTGTGGAGATCTATGTGTATGTAACAATTCTGTGATGGTTGCAGCAATGATCACCCCATCATCCCGCACGGTCTGTCAGTGGTCATGTCTGCTCCAGCCGTGTTCCAGTTCACCAGCTCTGCTTGTCCTGAACGCCATCTAGAGGCTGCTGAACTACTCGGCGTCGACGTGTCAAACGCCAAGAAGAGTGACGCAGGTAATCCAGCATAATATAATAAAATTGTCTCATATTTTTGTATATAACACTTTCTAATGATTCACCAATGGTAGGGTGAATTTATTTTGTCTGGAATTTGTCATTACTACAAAAATGGCAATGGCTCTACAATTTTTAATGTTGAATTTTTTTGTATGGTTCAGACTTACAGATGTACCTTCACCTTTGGTAAAATGAAACTAAACATTCCAGTTTCATGTTATAATCGTAGCTTGTTTTAGAATGGAAATTATCACAGTTAATTTGAGCCATCGGCTGAGTGTGCTGATGTGGAGTACTGATTAACTAGTGTCCCTGTTGCTCGAAATCGAGCAATTGCTAAGTATTACAGGCTTTAGTTTAAAACGAATAACAGTAATAATTTTGATGACTTTAATCATGGAATACTTAAGATGTACATAACAGATCGATATAATCAACATTTCTTGTAAATATCTTATCATTTTTTTAGTCTTATGGAGAAATACGAAACTTTAAAGGGCCCCAGGGCCTCACCCTCTAATTGTTTCCCAAAAAAAGTTGCCAGCTAAAAAAAAAAAAAAAAAAAAAATGGCTACAGCTGGTCCATATTGATTAACTTTAATCCAAATTTAAATTTTAACAATGCTTACCACGTTATTCTTGTGCACTGATCTATAAACGTTTAACAGGAGCCATTCTAGCAGACACTGTGAGAGGCTACATGCAGACAATGAAGGTAGAGAATGGACTGGGAGAGCTTGGCTACAAGAAAGATGATATTCCCGGTTTGGTTCAGGGCACACTTCCTCAGGTAAGAACGTTTCTTTGCTATCTCCAATAATTACTGGTAAAACTGTCATTCAAAGATTTTTTGCTGTGCAGTTTTTGTTGTTTGTTAACCCTTTACTTCCCCGAATTATAGGGGTCTGCGGTACAGAAAATTGAAGGTCGGTTCGGTACGGTACGGTACAATATTTTGTACCTGGGTTCTCGGTACAAAATCGGTACGGTACGCGGCTACCCGTATTTTTGCGGTTTTCTTCTCAGAACTGTATCCAAACCATTATTTTTAACTTTAATACATAGACATTACTATGAAAATGGATAGTATCCTACATTCATGGTTTTCTAACAACAATTACTGTACCACATATTATTAAAACAAAACCTTTTACTACTACGAGGATTGTGTCAAGAAAAATCACAGTTGAGATAAAGGCTTTACCTATTTTACTCTGAGATACTTTGAATAGCCATGATAAAGTAGTTTAAAAATAGGACGAGAGTTTTTATGAATAAACATGTTTGAAACATTTATTGACAAGATAATTTCACAAAACTGATAAATTATTTCCAACCAACACAATGTCTAGTTGTTTTTTATTTTATTTTAAAAACATATAAAAGCATTCAGTAGAAGACAGTGTAGTTTTGCCAGCTGTTCACAGCAGATGACAATGAAAAACTGGAGGTTATGATGAAGTAATGGCAAAGACCATTTTTTTTATCAGCTTCAAAACTAGTTAAGTTATAAGATGGATACAATTCTTGCAAAGTTTTTTTCTGAAACTAAAATTTGGATTATCACAGAGTAAGATTTGATGTTGGGCAATTAGACTTTATAACTGTGTAAAAGGTGTGTATCCCTGAATTTATAAATTGCATTCTACACTTATTCACTGCCAAACATAATTCAGTAGAACCTTGATGAACCGAGAATTACACTAGCCTACATAACTTCATTACCCCAAGTAAAATACCAAGATAATTTTTATAATTGTATTTGAATCGTATAATCTTAGTTTTTTAAAAATGGATTGTATGTTCAACAATAATTGCAGTCCATTATTGTTAAGCAGTATGGTCCCAAATTATTGTTTTTGATTTTGAAACACCACAGTTCATTTGACAAAATTATAGTTGAAGCAGCTCAATGTCAAGTCACGCACGCTTGTGCAATAGTTTGTTTACACATGCTTTCTCCAGACCACGGGGGAGGGGAGGGTCTGATAAGCCGTCTATTGTTCACCCCCAAGAAGGTCCGACCCTCATTAGTGCCGCTCGGCTGCACTCAGCGGGGAACCCAATACCACAAATCAATCTTTTAAATGAATACAAATATTTGGTAATAATTGTTTTATTAATATTCACCTTGAAATTTCAATAAATTTGGTGTAAAATTTGACAAAAATCTGCCATTTGGACCGATTATTAAAGTACCGTACATTCATTGGTAATTAAATAATAGGTAAAAATTTACCGATTTTCGTCAAGTTTTACCCCCTGCTGTGCGCTATGTCACAAAAGCTGATAACGACATGGGTGATTAGTAACCATGGCAACTTGTTGAATGCGTGATGAAGGGAAACCCAAGAAATAGAAGAACAAAGAGAAAGAATGACGTTGTTATCTTTATACCCTTTTTACAATTTCCGTTATTGTTATCTTTATGTAAGATTTTATGATTTTGTTTTATAGGTTTATAAAATAATTCTTTTTAACTACTGGGAATATCAATTTATAATTTATCAACGTGCTTCTCTTCTGAAACTGCAATACCGGATGCATAATAAAGGTCAATGGCCTAAAATATCACGATTGTGCAATATTGTATTTTGATGTTGAAATTAAAATTACGACAAAAGTTTGTATATATCCATGGTCGTCAATAGAAAGATAAAATATCCATAACAAATATTTAATTTATAAAATAAGATTGTAGATTTGTTACAAGTTTAATATGTAGCCATAAACAGTTTTATGGCAGTAGGCAATGGCCAGCGGCAAATTCAATATTTACGAAAATACTGATTAAGTTAGAGATAACATTTAACAGTCATCATAAAACTATTATTTTTATGATAAAACAGAATTGGGGAAAGTCGTAAAGAAATAAAAGTGATAAAACTCAACAGTTCTTGGAAGTACTTCAATACAACAATTATTGTCGTGATAAAATGTTAATGGATTTGGGACTGCTAATGGGGTTTTTATTGCATCATCACGCTAGTAATAAATTATGAAGATCGTAAACAAACATCTGATAAGACTTTTATGTGCTCGGAACCAACTGCCGTTGACTACGATAGTAGACTGAAAGTAATTTATTATTATAATAGGCTGTACCGAACCGAATTTGTACCGTGTAAAATGCTGTACCGAACCGATGACGGTAATTAAGCTTGTACCGTACCGTACCGACTTTTTCGGTGCACCGCAGACCCCTACCGAATTATGAAATTTAAAAAAACCCTTTTTTCTTGTGAATTTTATTTTAAGGTTAAAAATGTGTTTTTTTTACAAATTTCCACCATAGAATAAAAAAAAATGAGAATTACGTATCCATATGGATACTATGGGAACCTAAAGTACCACTGTTCGCTAATTTTCATACAAAAAATCATTTTACTTTTACCTTGACACTCCCATATTATCCAAATGGGTACAAGTTTCTTAAAAGTTGTATCAAATTGAAAAAAAAATCACTTTTTCATTAATTAAAACAAATTTATTTAGAATGAGTACAAATAGACATACCCTATTGTGAAAAAAACTTAATTATTTTATTTTTTCAATACCAGTGGCAGCAAAAAAAGCAAGAAAAACATGAACTTGGTTTTCTGTCAATACCAATCAAAAACCTGAGCTGCAACATGTTTTGTAGTCACTCATTCTTGAGGAACACGAAACTGACAGAAATGGTTACTTTGATTTGTAAGACACATCGGAATGTCATACCTGCTTCACATAAATAAATAAATAAATAAATAAAAATGCCTTTATTTAGCAAGCGTTCCTCAGTACATACTGCTTCACATGATAACTCTTGTCAATTTAATTACTAATACTAAATCAAGCTAATAACAAAAAGTACATAATCTATTTACAAAATTTGAGGTCCTTTCTATACATTTCTTTTAGCTTATTTCTAAAGGCTGGAACACCCAGCAACTTAGTTCGAGTTTGGGGAGTTCGATGGGGAGTTCAACACCCACATCATTCGAGTTTGACCTATTCGGCAAAATTCACATCGGTTCTTCTTGTCAGTTGGTTGAGGCCCTTGCCCCACCTCATTATATTGTGTCTCTGGCAACGGCTCCTGCCTTTTGGGACCTCTTTTTGATACAGTTGGAGCTGAAGATTCGTTAAGTTTTGGTCTCCCACACCTTTTCTTCTGTAGTGTAGTAGTTCCCATAGCACACATTAATTTAGCAACGTACTGTTGAAAATGGAACAATTGGTTAAGAATTGCTATATTACCTGTGTCAAAATGTAAACATTTCCAATTTTCCATAAATCATGGAGATGAAGTGTTAAGATGGAACGTTTTTATGATGCTAGAGCACACCTCAATTATGATTCAATTTACTCAAACTACATAGCAGTAACACATACACACACACACCCACATAATAATGCTATTCTATAATTATAGTGACATCTAATACATCATATAACCTTTTTTTAGGTAAATTTGTATACCTTTCTAATACCTACTTTGTTTTAGCATCGTATCACAAAACTTGCACCTCGAGAACAAAGTGAAGAAGACCTGGCAAAGCTGTTTGAAAGCTCATTCCAAGTTTACTGATAACTTGAGTTTTATAGACTCCGTAACTTGAAGGATTGTGATTACCAAATTGATAAGTCAACATATTGGTCCAGGGCAGGTGATAACAGCTTCTGGAACAATTTGGAAAATTCAAGTCAATGGTACTTGTATGGAAAGACAGTGGTATCTTAATTATTCCACTTTCTCAAATATCAAGAGTCTTTGACTTACCAGGGAAGGGATATATTTACAACATTTTGAGAGGTTTAGATTGCTGCATTAAGGTGTCATTGCTTACTCAGGCAACAAAACTTCAAACCCGTTTACAAGATAAGACTGAACAAAGTGCCATGTATTCTTTTACTATAGTATAAAACATCACTGTCTCATCAAACGTTTATAATGTTTAGGATGAACATAGCACTATACTTTTTAACAAAGGCTAGTGAGAGATTGCACTGAGAACATTATTTCTCTGTATTTTGTTTAAAGATTTAATGTTGATATTTTTATTAAAAAAGTACATCATTGTACAAAGACCCTGTCTCAACAAGCCAAATAATTGATGATGAAACATAGTAACATAGACAAAAAGAATTAAATATAGACCGTCAGCTGTGCTGCGGTTACCATAGGTTCTAGCGCACAACGCTGAGAGCGCCACATAGTTACGGCGTACACACTACGTAACTACACGGCACTCCCAGCGGTGTGCGCCAGAACCTATGGTAACCATGGTAACTAAAGCACGGCTGACAGTCTTTTATTATTTTTTTCTATGATAGTAACTTAAGTACCTAGTTAAATAGTGGTCCATATTTTATTATTGCAGTTTTATACATTCAGCTTCATGCTGCTGATTATATAAACAATTTTTGTAAATTCTATGCATATATATTTTTATTATTTTTATCATGATTTTTAGATCTAGCTCTTGTATAATGTAAGAACTTTTATTATAAAAGTTATAGAGTTTTAAATAATGTTATGACTTTTAATGAATTAGAATTGTTAAACATTGATACTAGATCTTATATTTAAGTTTTGTTTTGGATCAATAAATTGTTAATTGTATTGAAAAGTAGTTTTTTAATTATTGCCTCTCTCAACTCTTTATAAAGGTGTTTTTTTGTGTTTCTATGAGTGTCGCTAGTCACAGCACTTCCCGGTGCAGTAGCCATCTCATCTAACTCACTGGCACTTAAATAATTAGTTAAATCTCACTTGTGAGCACTGAGTATATATTCAAGCCTTAGCAGCACTCATATCTGCCCGGTTGACAATGACAAGCTGAATGAGTTGACTAAATGTGTTATACTGATCATTGTAGCTTTAAAGTCTTCCTACATTTGTGGGTTTGATCACAGAAAACGTACTACTATAACCCAGAATGCCAACCGCATGGTAAAAAGCATCAAACCGCTTAATGCTTTTTACCATGCGGTTGGCATTCTGGGTATAGTAGTACGTTTTCTGTGGTTTGATTCCCATGCAAGTGCAAACCATTAGCTTACTCAGTGGTCGATTTAAAAAAAAAAATAGTTGCTGGAACTGTAACCTACCAATGAGACGTCAAATGGCAGAGGAGTTAAAAAACTGACAAATTTTGTGTTGGTGTACAATATTAATAACATAGCTTTTTGCTTTGGAAAAATACTCAGGCTATCCAGAAAGTAAAGAACGTTTCGTTATGATGCCGCTAAGATAGTAAACGGCTTAGTTTGTAAATGCACAATGTTAAAATGGGCTAAAAATTAAGTTATAAAAAGTCCTCATAACTTTAGAACAGATCAAGATTTAAAAAACTAATTGCGGCAATGTAATCAGCGTAAAATTCTAGTTTGAAATAATGGGTCACAACACAACCCTACCTTTACATAAAAAAAAGTTGTATCCAAGATGGCGGCAAAAAATTTATACCCAGTCAAAATGAATTACTTACAAGTACTACGATGATCTGATGTGGTCCGGAGTTTATATCTTAAGAAATGTAGAAAAGATTAGGGGGGGGGAACTCATTTAAAACTCACCCTGTATAGATGTTGCCATTAGTATAGGAGTCTTCAGTTCAGTTACCTAATTTGTTTATGTTTATGATCCATACCGTAGACAAAACATACTCCTCAAGTACCAAACAGTAAATCACAAATAATGAAATTAACCCTAACATAATAGACCCAAAATGGGTAAACTTCCATATCTGTTGGCACAAACAACCGAATGAGTAATATTGATTATTCGATTGTTTAATTCGATATATCGTTTGGTTAGTTAGGCTAGGTTAACATTACCTAACTATCCAAAATTATTCGAATATTGATCGTATATATATATATATATATATATATATATCATACATCATATATATATATTGATCGATCATTTCATTCGGTTTTTTGTGCCAACAGATATGGAAGTGTACCCAACAAAATTTTGTTGACGCTAGCGACTAGCGACATTGTATAGTCAATGCTAGCGATCACTGATCAGTGTCACCGGACATAAACTAGACACGAATAATTAACTTCATCATAATTTACAATGGGATAAGGCGGCCGTGGATAAGAAGACTACTTTTGTTGGTAAGTGTGTGATACGGGTTTATATGGTAACGTCATAGACTAACAAAGTATATTTAATCTATGACAATTGTTATACCAATTGTATTATTAGTAGTTTGTTACTAGGATGTAGTGGTCACACTGATATTCCAATCGTCTGCTTTGCAGATTCTTCTTTTTCTCGTTTTCACTTGCGCAGGTCTGGTCTGCTGCAACTTGCAACATTACTCACAATCTGAATCTACCTTTTCAATTTTAGGTGTGAAATTTAAGAATTTTCAAGATGAGCTCAGCCTCTAAAGTCGTTAAGAAACTCCCTCCTGGATTATATGGTACGCAGTTTAATAGCTTGTCTTATTAGGGTATTCTATAGCTTAAGGTAATAGTGTTTCTCTAAATCTCCTTCGTCTGCCAAAGGTCATTGCAGGCCTAGTTTTACCATAGGATGGACTTCAGTAGTCTACTCTAATTAAGCCCTACTTAATAAGTGAGAGTAATCAATTTGTAACAGTTCAAAATATTATGCTACCTAGCTAATTTTGTATTGTGTAAATACATTGTAAGACTGTGATACTAGGGAAAACTAGGGTGGGGGGGGGACTATAGGCCTATTAACCTTTTGAGTGGAAAACTTAAATATAAGGTGGTGACCTTGATTTTTTTTCCTGACATTTTTTAAAACAGAGGATACACGTCCGGTAACAGAACGTGGATTAGGCGTCCCAGCAGTGGGGTGGGGGCCTGGAACAACATTTTAAGTTACAACGATACATAAGTTTAGTACAGCCATTGGTGTTCGTGGTGTAAGTTAGTGGATAGAGTAGGCCTACTCGGCTGATGTACAAGAGGTTAACTTATCTAGACCGAATCCCATCGGTGACTTTTGTCAAAGATTTTGCTTAGAATGCAATTTCTTATTAACTGTAGGCCCTAACTTACATCTTTTCTTAGAATTTGAGGCATTTTATAATTTTATTTTGTGAACAGAATTTAACCTCATTTGATTCATTCAATTTTTAATTATCAGCAAGTTTGGCTTAACTTAGTTCGGTCAGGTTATGACAATAACTGCCGGACGCCTAATCCACGCCCGGTTACCGGACGTGTATCCACTGCCTTTAAAAAAAAATGGATCTATCTGTCCTTAGTCAAAGTCTCTTGTGTCATGTTCTAAGTTAGATGTAAGGGCTCTAAAGATTCCTTGGAATCTAGACGTTCTAACTCGTTAAAACAATTAAAAAACTACAAAGAAAACAGTTTACTAGATATTTATATTAAAATGACTCTAGTGTTTGAAAAAAATATTATGAGATGGTTTCAAGTTCATCAGCGGCTTTTTGAAATTATCGAAAGTAACATTGCTCTTATGGCGGGCAAAGGCTGCAGTTTCGTAGAGAGCAGCTACAATATCGGTAACTTATATTATCGGATGAATAACGATATGCGTAACTTACACTGAAAAATACCAATTTTAATCCTGTTCGATAATAATATCGTAGGCCTAATGATTTTTTTTTGTACTATATGATATAAATAATACCAACGCTGCAGCAAACCTGCCGACTTAGCGAATTTCCATTTGCCTGGATTGATTTTCAATTAACTTAATCTATTAAATTAACATTTATGTTTAACGAGTACCTAGGTTAGCTGCTACAGTGAAACTAATAAAGTGGGTTTTTTATTAAAGTATCCAATAGGCTAGCTTAGTATGAAATAAATAAATCCGCCAAGTTTGATCAAAATATATCTAGATAACAACATAATTTTACAATATTCTCCATAAGAATAACATGGGAATTTTAAATTTACAATTTTTTGAAGTTTCTCCGTTACCAATAACCGTACAAAAACACTTTGATATACTAAATTATTCGTTTTTTAAGCTCTTTAACAAGGTCTAGATAGAAATTGAGAAATTTTGTGTTTTGAGGGTCAAAAATGAGAAAAAACATTTTTTACCCCATAAAAGCCCCCGTAAAACACTGTTCCCATGGTCCGTTCATGCTGGTTCACTAACTCATTCAAGTTTATCCCGCCTTACACCTTCAAACAAAATTTTATCAAAATCGGACAAAAATTACTCAAGTTATCGTGCGGATGGACACACATATATACTGTATATCTATAGATATATATATAGGTACATACGGTATATAAAAATTTGAACGAATGGTGGTTTTGGCCTCTGGGGACATCCAAATGAAAAAGTAAATTGGTCCTGGGCCTAGGTCTTACCATGAGACCTACTGTAATAGCTACGTCTCTATAGGAAAATTCGCTAAAAACAACAACAATAACATTGATAAATCTCTTTATTCATTTAATCCCTTGTTTCCACTTAAATATTTAATACTAAAAACAGAAGAAACTGAATTTTAGATAGGCCTATTTAAGTTATATGCTTACCTATCAACTCTTGGAAATTGCGTTGATTTTCTTTTAGAAAAATGTTTGATTCCAAAACAAGCTAACTTAAATGCGAATTAATAGTAGCGCCCGTTTGCAATATATACACAGGGTGTCCACCGACCGGGAAATCTGGAAATTATTCTTGAGTTTATTGAACCGGGAATTATGCGTGAATTTTGTATATCCACCTGGAATTTTCAATTTACCGCCATCCCGAATGACAACAGTGACGTATCCGTGACCGCGGGAGACGACAATATGTCTTCACACAGCAGCTAGGGGTTATCAGAATTTTCAGCGATCACAGAAGACGATGATGATATCTACAGAGCCGCGAGGGATGATCAGAATATTGCCGCGATCACGGAAGACGATTATTATCGCCTCACGACTGCGGGATATGATTAACATTTTGCCGCAATCGCGGGAAAGAATTACGATGTCTTCTCGACCTTGGGAGACGATTACGATGTCTACACCGAGGGAGATACAATAATAATTTCTACACGGCCCCGAGTGATGATCAGAATTATGCCGGGATCTCTCAAGACAATGATAATGTCCACATGACCACAGGAAAAGATCAGCATTTTGTCTCATTCGTGCAAGACGATGATCTATACATGGCCGGGGAGACGATTACAGTTTTGCTGCAATCACGGGAGGCGATTACTATGCTCAAACGACCACGGGGGACGATATAATGATGTCTTCACGGCCGCGAGGGGTTATCAGAATTTTATCGTGATAGGGCAAGAAGATGATAATGTAGGCTATATCCGATCGTGGGAAAAGATCAGAATTTTGCCTCATTTGCGGAAGACGATGATGATCTCCTCACGACCGTGGGATATGTTCATATATTGCTGCGATCCTGGAAGGTATGTCTAACAGACCATGGAAAATTGTCACAATTTTGCCTCACCCTCAATTGTGGGAGTTGGTTACGGTGTTTACACGGCCGCGAGGGATTATCAGAAGTTTACTGCGATCATGCTAATACAAACACCATTTTTTTATTCAAATTTTTGGCGCCCCCCAAAAAAAGCCAATTGCCTCGCACCCTAGGCACGTACCTACCGTGCCTATTTGGTAAATCGGCCCTGGTCCAGTGGTCGGTCGAAGCTCGACCAAAAATATCCAATGTACAACATGCTTCTCTATTTTCACCCCACGCTGTAAATAAAACATGTGATTGTAGTTCCTTCCATTTGTTTTGATTTTCTGTTTATATTTTGTTGTTATTTCGTCACCAACATGGCAACCCATAAAACCCACGTTCATTTTTTAAAATTTAAAATTTGTTTTTGTGCTTATTTTCGAGCCTATTTTAGTTTATAAAGGGTTTCTGCACATCTACAGGTAAATATCATTCTAACATTATGCGTAGATTTTCCTTGCGATGCACACGAGCTGAGGAAAAAGGTTTTTAAAGAAACATGCTTGCCTATAGATAGATAGATTCATAACAACATAAACAAAACAATTTTGAAATCAATGTTTATAGTCTTATAAAAAAATTTTAATTGATATATTGGACCGAACAAGTTTTGATATAGGCCTACCGTATATCGTTATTCATCTGATAGTATATCGTAGGCCCTATACGGAACTGCAGCTCGGTCAATCCAAGATGATTGTTAGCTTCCATGGACTCCCTAGGAGAACAATTCAAAACTACAAAGAACATTTTTAATCTCACAAAATACTATATTTAAATATTATAATCACTCTTGGTGTTTGAAAAAATATTTTTAGACCATAAAGAGGCTAACACTTCAGTAGCTGTTTGAAATTATCCAAGATGGTGCTAGCCTCCAAAGACTCTTAATAGGCTAAATGGTTCTGGCTAATTAAACAGCCAGCCTTATCTACCTAACAAATAAAATGTATCGTTTATAGCGGAGTTGGAGATTAGTTAGTAGTCCGCTTATCTGTGTTTCTGTCTGTCTGTATGTTAGGGTAAAAACTCAAGAACCGTTGCACTAATAGCGTTCAAATTTTGCACGAATAATTATGACATCACTGGGAAGACACCATTCTAAGTCTAGACAATTCCGCTTGAAATCTTAGGCTTATTATGTACGTTGGCGTTTTAAAGGATGGTTATCAAGAGGCCTATACAAACCAAACAAGCTTAGTGGAGGTTTAAAAAATTAATTACTTTTTTAGCGAATTTCCCATATAGGGAATAAGCTATTACCGTAGTACTCATGGTAAGACCTGGACGCGGGACCGATTTTTTTTTCGTTTTGAGGTCCCTAGAGGCCAAAAACACCATCCATTCAAATTCATATATATATATATTTATATATATGTGTCCGTTAGCACGATAACTCGAGCAAAAATGATCCGATTTTGATGAAATTTGGTACAAACGTGTAAACCTACGTTTATTCAAACGAGTTCGCGATCCAGCATGATCGGACCATGGGAACGGGGGTTTACGGGGGGTTTTATGGGGTAAAAATAGGTTTTTCCCATTTTTGATCCAAAAAACATCAAATTTAGCAATTTCTTTCCAAACCATTTTGTAGAGCTTAAAAAAACAAATAATTTAGTATATTGAAGCGTTATTATGCGCCTAATGGTTACGGAGAAAATTCCAAAAAATTGTAAATTTAAAATTCCCATGCTATTCTTATGGAGAATAAGTAAACTGTTGTAGTTTGCTTGTTTATGAACATATTTTGATCAAATTTGGAAAATGTTTTTATTTCTTACTAACTATTAACATTTTACAAAAAAAAAAGTTTTACCCTCCCTGATGCAGCAAACCTAAGTACTTGTTAAACTAATTCTATTTAAATCGGGAATAAATGTTATATTTTTAAGTAGACATTTCAGTGTAAAAATCAAATCAGTCAAATGGAAATTCGCTTAGTCTGCAGGTTTGCTGCGGCGGGGGTATTTAATAATCAATATTGTATTGTTCACACTTTGCTCACCAGTTGCCACAACTCCTCTGTATTAGTGGTCTTTTACAGTACTAGGTAAGGTGTTAAGGTATCAAAATTTAACATGGATTAAATAAGTTATATCTTTTTCAGGCACCATCAAGCAATGGGCATACAACACATCTGGTTTTTGCCAGCTAGGTAAGTATAGTACATATTGCTAAATACTATAACTTAATTTTTGATAAATAGGCCTTGATTTATCTTCAATAGTTTATGATTTTTTTTATATATCTGTCCTAATGTCCTACGGTACTCCAAATAGTTAAGTCTAGGTATAGCAAGGCCTGCAAAGGAGATTCTGGTTGTAAAAGAGTGTTTTAAACTCAATCCCTCTTCAGGGGATTCCGGATTTACTGAAGGGAGGGCCTTAAAAACACTTCATTTTTGGGACTTAATACTGTCAAGGCTGGATAAGCGAGAATTGACTTTAGTGGTTCAAGATCAAACACCTGAGCTTATCATTTCATTCATCATGTCTTGGCTCTCTTCTCATCACCAACTTGTCAATGTGACTACTTAGGTTATTTCGCCTAGTTAACTTCCTAATATTTAAGGATTGTCACTGAAGCCATAGTGTAGGCAGTGTTGCCACTTTCATATATTATGTACGGAAAGCGAGCTGTTTTAGTAGTTGAGCATGGGACTTTGGTCCCTGGTTTGAATCACACCAATCATCAATGGATTTTATATGATGATTGCACAACCTTCTAGACCTAGCCTGAATTATTGAGTAGAACGCACAGATTGATATGATCCCTGGATAGGCATTTCTCACCATGGAGCTTAGCTCAGAGGAAGCGCAGCCTTCGCCCAGAGCCAGTCTTTGTATAGTTATGTAACCAGTTAAATTGCAAGGTATGGACACTAACATTCTATAAATATTGTTGACTTAAGTGGCAGTAAATTACTAACACCTAAGTTTTTACTGTTACAATAATTATCTTTTACCCAACCCGCCATGTTAAACTTCCCTATCCCAAGCGTGATGTATACAACTTCCTTACTTCTCGAGTGATGTAAAGTTGAAAAAAACTCACTCGGTGATGTAATGAAACCCATTTAAATAACATTGAGTGGATAACTTAAAAAATATACCTCTATGGAGCCAACGACGTTCAACGCTAGAAATCAGCTGTGTGTTTGAATTTTATTGTTATGCTTTGAAGAATTTTCCTAACCTAGCTTTTGTTTGTAAATGAACGTTACTGTTAGAAGATGAGTGAAATTGATAATGAAGCATATTGCTCGTAACCTCCTGAATATTGTCGGGTCAGGTAAAATCTTGTACGTTACACGTTACGCAAGAGCGTGTTTACATCACTTCGGTGAATTATGCAACTTGCCTTCGCTCGTTGCACAACATTCGCCTGCGTGATGTAAAAACGCTCTTACTACACTTGTAATGTAAATAGCTATTATTTTACTGAAGTACACACACAACATTTTTACTCAAACATATCTTATTCAACAATTCTCATTACAATAAAAACAATCCTAACTATTTACACATGATCAGCTGTTACCAACATAAATTAAATTAAATACAGAACAAGTAACAGCAAACATATTATATAAAAATAAAATTACATTCAACAAATATTCCATGGTCCCCAATGACATAATTTCATATCAATTACCAGCACCAATATTTGTCTTTTAATTTTTATTACTTTAAATTGTCGACCTATTGCTTTCTTGAGGCAAAAAGATTAAGTTAATTTATAAATAAAAATGTAATAGTGCGGTAAACTAAGCTGTAGGCTTATTTTATAGCCTAGGCCCTAATGTTCATATAACTAAATTTGTTATTGAACTGTTGATCCTCATGAAACAGTCATTTAAAATAAGCTATTAATTACTTTTTTCCTCTTCAACATAATTTTAGTCAATATAAGGACACTTTTCTCTCAATTTACCCTATATGTGACAGGTTTGAAGCACAATGATGTGCTGAGGGAGACCCCGGACGTGGAAGAAGCTTTGAGGAGGCTGCCCAAGAAACTGGTTGACGAACGCAACTTCCGCTTGATCCGGGCTTTCCAGCTGTCCACCAACAAAATGATCCTTCCCCGTGAACAGTGGACTAAGTATGAAGAGGTAAGCATAGTCCCTAGGGATGTGCTAAGCATCGTAAATGATTTGATGCATCAAATCGCGATTCGATTCATGACAGAAATAGGCCGATTATAAGGCATACTGATCATTGCCTTTACGTCGGAATATACAATGAGTGACATTGCCTAGCCATACAGGTTATTGACGTCGTAATATATAGTACTGTGACTTTGCCTAACCATCGAGGTTATTGGCGTCATAAGATACAGTACTGTGACATTGCCTAACCAATTGGAACATTGGTGGGGTTTTAACATTTTTCCTTACATGTTGTTTGTAAGTTATAAAAAACCTTAGTACATTGGATGCTGCTGAGGGTGTGGCATGCCAGAATCCCATGCCCTTGTCGTCTAAATATAATGTGTGATTAGCCGGCTAGCACTGCCCTAGCCGAATGAATGTTCAGTGTAATGTAGCATTGTGGAAGGAACCTAACCTCAAACTTGTGCAGTGTCAGCTTTTTTGCGTAATTTTTTGTAGGTGAATTCTGGTACATCACCCCTGCTTTTTCCTTGCATTCTGCAATACTGAGGGCCTATTAGCATTTGGTTCAGTGCTGCTATCGGTTTGTTTATTGTAAAACTATGGACGGTCCACGACTGGAACACAGTAGGGCCTACATGCTATACTCTGCCTCTCCTACTGGATGAAACTACATTTAAACACACTTATCCACACAACACATGTGTTGTTCCCGCACCTGGCCATTGCGAAACCGCAGTAAATGTGTTAAAATTGTTTTTTCACCACACTATGATGTTTTTAGCTGGTTTACATACGTTGATTGGTGGCTGAAAGTTACGTTTTGCTGGCCATGCCAGCTGTCATCGTCATTTGGGGACCGAGCAGGTTTTTACAGCCCTAGGGCCGCAAAATCAGCTGCCCACTTACTTTCTTAAAACATTAATGCATATTAAATACACAATCAGTATCCATAGTGCAATATAATTGTTTTATTGTCACCGCTGCCTAGCAACCATTTATTATTATTTTTCCTGATATCTCAAATTATTTATTCACATAACTTTAAAGTTGTAGTTGTGTTGACTATCAGTGTGCATTATTATTGTGGTGAATAGTGGAGGGTATAGTGTGGTGAAAAATAGCGTTCGTACCACGGACCGAAATGGTTTTGCAGCTCTCGATCGTTTTAAGTTCTCGACTTCGTCTCGAATAAACTATCTCGAGCCGGCAAAACCTCATTTTTGGCTCTAGGTACGAAATATACTATTTTGTCATTGTATATGTCTAGAATGACATAGCCATTTCTTAGGATACATTATATCCTAAGAAAACAAGCATTCAGTAGATTTGCTAGCCTAAAAATCGCTTACAGAAGATATCCATCTATAAAGAACAATTTACTAATTAAGTGTATTGGATCATTTACGATTAAATTTTGCTACTCAATCTTGATTTTGTAAAAAAGGTGCAAAGTATGTAATCTTAAGTTACATTACTTAGCGTATTTTACATACAGACATTGTTTTTCAGGATGACCACTACCTGGAACCATACATTGAAGAAGTCATCCGTGAAAGAAAGGAGAAGGAAGAGTGGAATAAGAAGTACTAAGTGAATAAATTAGATTACATTGTCTATCTCAAATTGTATATTGTTAATAAATAGTTGATGTGGTAACCTTTGGTGTGATATTTATCTCGGTAAATCATTCATTTGGGAAATCACTGTACAGAGAAAATTAAGTACAGTACCTATATAGATTAAGCTGTTGGATATCGAAGCCACCTAGGAACAGGGGAGGAAATAACATATATATATTCAAGGGTAAGAAATTAACTCTAAGGAATAACTAATGATATAGCTTTATTTACAACCAAGAAAATACAAAACGCTTAGTCTCTAAACTTATTTTAAGACAACAATTTTGATACATTACTATCAAACTGAACTTTTAAGCCTGGAAAATCAAGATAAAGAGGAATAACAAACGCACTAAATTTTTAGTAGTTGGCAATATAGAGTAACCCGTGTATATCTGGCTGTTACTTATTCTTGCAGTGTTAAAAATAAACTGTAATGTTTTACACACATTCAGACGGATAAGGTAGGAAGAATGATGAATTTGTAGGCTAAGATTAGAGGGATTTGGCCATCTATAGAGCCAAATCTTACATAATTCTCAGGTCAAATTAAGATTGCAAAAATTACCTGTAAAATTTCAGATTGGACACAACTCGAACCAAACCATAAATTAAAATCAGTCTTCATATAAATCACGCTTCATTCATAAGTGAATGTCATAACAGAAAGTTATGTGACTTTCAACAAATATTTAACAATATACAGCAAACTTTTACATCTTAAAACACAGTGGAAACCTGTGATTTATTTTATTTAAAGGTTGATTCACACACATCAGTTCAGTCACAGTCCTGTTACAGTCTAGTTACAGATCAGTCTCAGTTGCATCCACAATTCCTCAGTCAACTGTCCATCAGTTGGTTTCAGTCAGTCCTCCATCACATATTTTTCAGTGATTTTACAGTCAAGAATTTATTTTCATTGTTCATCTTGTTGATTGTTATTTGTTACAAACAGTATTTAAAATTAAAATATAAACACAATAATTTAAATAACAAAAAATATATATTTTCTAATCTCAAACACGTCCATCAGGAGTCCTAACAATCCAAAAATATCGGAGAGAAGAATTCTGAAATTGACTTGCGGGCGCCGGCAGAGCAACTGAGGGAACTGTGCCGGATAAGTGTACATGATGCAATAGAAATCTATGAAGGAATAATTTTGTTGACTATGGTGTGCCGGGAGCTGATGTGTGTGAATCATAACCTTAAGAGTTTTTATTTTTTGTTGCGACCGCCTGGTTTACAATTGAGTGAATTAGAGTGGTATATAAATAGTTATGAATTATCTTCCAGTCTTTTTGAGGACAAAGATAATAATTCAACCCAAAAATAATAATGAATAAGGATGTTTCTGTTTTTGTAAGTCACTAAAAAGGCCAAACAATAACAATAATGAGGTAGTACGATATCAGTATGCCAGTGGGTTAAGGCAAATTAGCCAAGCTATGCCGTGCTAGTTGTTAGGCCAACTTATTCACAAAACATGAATCTTGTACGTTTTCAATTTTTATTTCCAACACTGGTTTTAATATAGGTTTGCCATTATAAATAATCTGCTGCAACTGTCACTTAAATTTAAAAGGCATTACCCCGCCAAACCAATTGAAATAGTCACATTTTAAAAATTTAATTTAAATATGATTATCGGGTATTTACAGTGATGAAATATTGTAAAGATCACGGGCGCCCAGAAGAATTTTCCTCTGAGGGCTGAAGGATAAAGACCTTTTCCACAGACAAGTAATGTAAATGTGAAACACTTAACACAATTGATAAATGTCTAAAAGAAAGAATCATCTTTGTGACCGTTAAAAAATACCTTTTAACGCTAGAATTTTTTAAAACCTTACAGATCATGGTCAGTTTAAATTTTTTTTCAGAGGGGCAATGGCACCGATCAATTTTAGATCAATTTTGGATGTAAGAAAAATATACATCCTATGTCATTGGCTCCAGCTTGATTCTTTTTTACTTTCTCTGTTTCTCTCTCTCATGCAACACATGTATTGAAAGTTAGCTGTTTTCAAAGGCAGTTTTTAAATGTTGCAACCAATTAGTTTACTATTTTAATATCAAGAAAAAGTTAGGGTAAAAATACATTTTTACACAAGTATTACCCAACCTAATAGTTAAAAATAAAAAACCTTAAACTATTTATCGAGACTTGTCACTGGGTAAGACAAGGTCAGGTTCTCTTTCTTCTACGACCTTCCAGAAGAATTTGATGGATTTGTCATTGCAACATTTAATGAGAATTGAGTCCAAAAATTTCCTGTCCAAACACTTCAACACTTCCATACAGAAGTTACCAAAACTTTCTCTGAGGCTCAAGACTGTCATGTCTTCTTTATCTAGATCATCTAAAAAAAAAAAAAAAAAATTATAAAGGTCAGTCAATTGACACTGATTAAATTACAAACATATATTTATGTATTGGTTAGTTAAGCATTATACATTAGGTGATTTGGTAGCCCGCCAATGAGCGATTAGATTGCTGGCAATCATATTGCCGGTCGAAACATATTTTTTACTCCAGCAATCAGTCAGGCGATATCATGTGGCAATCACAAATCAGAGTTTATTGATCAGTGTGATAATGGAGCTTGAATTATTTACAGAACAATAACAGCAATATAACATTAAATATTTAGAATTAATTAAAAGCTGTTTTTAATGCACTAAATAAAATTATAAAGATGATAATAATACACCAGTCAAGACATCAGTACGCATGTGCGAGGAGAATATCGATTGAGATTTTTGCCCGGTCCCACACACTTGGAAATCTTGTCGCCCAGCCATCTCCGAATTGCCGGCAATTTGGTGGATTGCCAGGGAAAATCGAGCAATCGGCAAGTAGCCGATCGAAACACCCCCATACATTGGGCAATATTTAAGCAATATGCTAGTAGGCCTACACAATTCAAAACACCTAATAAAATATGAGAAGCAAGGTTACCAAGAAGTTACTATCAAGAACAATGCAACCAATGATTACAAAACTATCTTTAAATCTTCTCATCGCTTAGTCACAGCAACCATTTCTGGGATCATAGGCCTACATCGACTTAATTCTTTTGGTTTCGCAGAACTTGGGCCCACGGAAATTTTGCCATATCTGTCTAGCCATTGAATATGACAAATAGGTCTACATACAAACTCAACATTCACCACTTACCAGAGCTCCTCTCAGTTGTCTTCCTCACTATATGTATGGTCTTACAGAAGGCCTCCTGACAGAAGTAGAAGGTGACTAGAGCTTCTAGTAGAGAGATGGTAGCTATGAGTAGAGCGTCTGAATGGTCAGGCTCTTGTATCCAGTTCAGGACGGCTCCTGTGATCTGTTTGGCTTTCTGACCTGAACAATGTGATACAAGCAATAAATGTATGCCAACTTTATTTACCTTCCTGACCTAACTTTTTTCTGATGTAATGCTGATCCAAAATTTGTTACAAAAAACTCCAGTTTCCTTTTGCATGACTAAAAACTTGCTTAATAATCAACTTATTTGTGAAAGCAATCCTACAAGCATCAACTTATCAAGCAACAATTCTACTTTTTGTGCTGTTTTTACATTTTTAATTGTTGTGAATCGTATGACTTTGATCGCGGTTTTTAGAATCTAAGAGATGTTTCCATCAAAAATGGATGGTAGTTTCAGATCCAATGTGCCAAATACTGCAAGATCAATAGTAAAATAGTGTGACAAGGGGTCACCTATGCTGCACCATGATCCAAATTCAATCGATGATAGTTGAGAATGAACTTACCAATGAGTTCTCTGCCGTTCTCGTGGCCTGCAAATGACAGCAGTACCGACACCCATTGTAGAGCGCTCTTCTCCAGATGTTTGTTAGGGAACTCAAACCTGGAGCCTTCTTTGCAGCCAAGAAACAGCTGATTCCAACACTCCATCATACCGTCAATCATATCTAAAATATCAAATATATCAATTATCAGTTTGTTTACTAAAGGATATGAATAAAAATTAAACAGTTTTATAAACTATAATAGCCCATAAACCCATAGTATGGGTGAAGTGGCGACTTGTCCGTTCACTATCTGCCGCTCGAGCCAGTGCTGTTCAGCTGCGAGAGTTGCAGTTACAATAATTTATATTGGAGAGATTACTCCCATCAGATTACAATTAATTCTTTGGTAGTAAAATAAAGATAATTAGGACAGCGTACTATAAGCAACAATGCCGTAGTGACAGTGGTCACTGATCTTAGCCATCCATGATTCACAGTTATAAGGGTGCTACGCCGTTCATCCAAAATTTTGATCATCGATTGAACAGTGTCGTTGCGTAGCAAAAAAACTATTTGCGTTGCAAACACTGACGTTTTATTTTTGAAGAAACGCACACATTTCATAACCTCGATGTTGTTTGGTTTAAACCATGATGGTGACTGAAATATTATGAAAACCTGATGAGAACAAGACCTTTCGTGTCCACAGCTGGAATAAAATCTGAGCTAAAATGTGCTAAATCCAAACCATGTATTAGTGTTACAGTATTAACTCCTAGACAGTTTTGTTAAGGTAAAAGAAATCACCAATCAATGTCACCAAACTTTTCTCACCTGTGGTGGCAAAGTAGCGACTGTAGTCTTTGTCATTGAGTTCCAACCCACAGAGTGTGTTCAGCAGTTCCAAGACAGCAGTCAACAATTCTTCTGCATACAAGACCACTCATGTAAACTCTAACTACCAACATCATCTCTACTAACATCTACAAACAAATCAAACGTTTCGTTATATGTGGGTGAATTTTTTGGACTT